TCTTTATATACAGTCAGTGATCATCTTTATATACAGTCAGTGATGATCTTTATATACAGTCAGTGATGGTCTTTATATACAGTCTATTCTTTCCACCATCAGATTTCTTTGTTCCGTCTTTGTGAAGACGTTTCTGTCACTTTCACAGAATTTTAATTTCAGGATGCGACGCTGTTTTTCTTGTGATCAACTCACGAGAACAACATTCTGTGATCAGCTGGTGACACAGACGCTCTCCACACAAAGAAACTTCCAGTCTGTGTGAATTATACAAGAGGACTCAGCTTGTTATCCACTTCCATTACATTTCTTTAAACTGTTGATTTACAATAAAGTAAAGTCGTTTCTAGAAAATTCCCTTTATGCTCCAGATTCTGTCCACTCATCTTACATTGTAACCTTGGCCACACCCATTTTTCTGGCCTCGATCTGATTCTCGTGTTATTTAAGGTCTTTAATGAGCTTAAATCGGACATTTGAGTTTGAACCAATCAAAATTGGATCAATAATATGATTTAAAGCTAAAATATGTTCCCACCGTCCCTCAGAGCCACATTGGTGTTGAGCGTGAGTCGAGTTTCTAGATTAGCGTAGCTGCAGTGTGGTTTCGTCTGTGTGGGAGGACAGCGGCTCTGCTCAGGACAAAAACGGGAAGTGATGAAAACTGTGACCTCCCCTCGAGTTATTTCAGGATCAAACCTCCTGCTGCTCAAATCGAACAAGAATTCCATCTTTCTGCACCACGAGCGTCGGAAGCCAAAACTCACACCGGCGCTGAACATCCTGGATCACATGGGTCCTGAAGGAAATGTGAGGAGACGTTACATAATGGAGCTCTGCAGAGAAGAGTGGAGGAAGAAAACAATCAGTGCGCTGCTCTCGCTCCCACCTGAGGGACCCATTCACATTTACAACAGCCAGCAGAGAGAGAACCTGAGGCGCTTTCCACGATTGCCAAGAGCACAAATGTTTTGCTGGCTGAGGTGTGAAAGTGGTCGGAACTGGAGAGAGATCACTTTCAGAGAAAGGAAGTGGTAAAGAGTGGGGGGGGGGGGTGAAGAGAGGAAGACGGCAGAGAAGAAAAGAAAGAACAGACGACGGTTTACAGCTTCGTTCAAAGCCACAGAAACGTCTCCCTTGTATTGATTGGTTGTGTTTTACGTGTCGGGATGAGAGCTCAGACCGGCCGTCCTGCTGCTCTGTGGGTTTAATTAACGCCATGAGGCGACTTCACATTTAATCTAAAGACACTTGCTGGTGATGAGTCGCTCCCTCTATCGATCTTTGTTAAATTAGAATTAGCATGAATCAAAACCAAAGTTATCAGAAACATAAACGCTGACAAACATCAGTGAGATAAGAACGACCTGAAATGATAATAACCATGTTTGACAAACATTTATTTAACGCTTGATCTCGTTTTCACGTTGTATTTGAGTCCCAGTGAGAAAGTCTGCAAAATGAAACGAGGGTTGTCGTTTAGAAAGTTCCGTGTAATGAGGTCACAGAGGGATATCTGAACAGCTGTCAGAGAGTTGGCTCGTCTTTACCTTTATTTCGAAGGTTAATCCATCAGACAACTGTGAAAAGCTTGGGTTGACTGAGCTCTAGTGAGCTTTTATTCTGGGCACTGATGGAAGGAAACATTCAACCCTTCCATTTCTGTGGTTTCCTTTGTTACCAGCAGAGAACGTGAAGATGAAATGAAACGTGATGAAGAAGAGAACAGTTGTTAAAGAGGCAGCGATGGATGAACCGGCTCGTCAGAGGAAGCGTCCCCGTCACTCGGTGAAAAGTTGTAGTTCAGTGATCCTGGACTTTCCCTTCGTCCTCCTCAGAAGAGGAAGCTTTTGTTTCCCAGTTTGAAAAGATAGGAAGGTGATTCAGAGCCTCTGATTGGTGGATCCAAAGTGCAGGGGGTTGAAAATCAAACCCAGCCGCTCGGGCTGATTGCAGAGGAAACAGAGGCAGGAAGTGAACAGAGACGAGTCTAATAACCAGAGATACAGGGCAGTTACATGATGTGACCTTCGTCTCTGTTGTTTGGGTTGTTTACTCTGACGTTCATGAACCAACGAGCTGCAGCGACGAACTCCAGCGTCTCCAGATTTCTGCGTCTGAAGATGTAAAATCATCCAGTTTTCACAAAACAAAAGAATTTGAGAGAAAAGTCAGGAAAATATTTCAAAAAAGAAGGAGGATGAATATTTTATTTGATGATGTAAATCAAATCGTGACTCCTCATATTGATAAGTTCCACAATATTTTGTTGTTAATGTCTCAGAGGTTTTAATGTGAACGTGTTTTCAGGTGACCTGTCAGTGACCTTCACCCAGTGCATGCTGGGATGCTGTGCACTCAGTTGTGACCTGCACTTTCTGTAATGAGTCTGAAATTAGTTTTAAAGTGAGCTGAGGATTTCTCTGTGGGGGGGGGAGTGTTAACATTCAGAACCTGCTGCAGTTACCAGACTTTTACTGTGAAAGAGATGAAGTGATTCATCCCAGCGAGCGGCCGCTGGTTAGCGTCCTGCTGTGAACATCAACTTGAAGCAGCGACTTCAAACGTGTTTCAGATTCTGACGTGTGCACTGAAAAAGAAATCCTCATCGTAGGTTAACGAGAAGTCTGTGTGAACTGTCTGTGAACTCACGGCTCCTCCTCGGCCTCGCCGATCTCTGCTGTTTACTCACATCCAGCTCATCATGAAGTGGTCCGAGACGCAGCCGCACCTCAGTGAGGCCGAGCGAGGGCGACAGGAGAGGCAGTTCAGTCAGAGAGAGAGAGAGAGAGAGAGAGTCAGCAGGTACTGTAGGTCGGTAGTTTTATACTGGAGCTGCGAAAATTGTTCGACCGTGTTGCCATAGAAACAGTGAGGATGTAGATCAGGGGGCTTTTTTTTAACACACACACACACACACACACACACACACACACACGGTGACTAAGTGAGGTTAGCACAGGATTCCCTGCTATTCCAGTTTCTATGACAACTCACAACTCATCCTCCTCTCGCTGTCTGTCTCTCCTTCATCCTCGGCTGTAAGGGAAGCTGCCGTTAAGTTCTGACTTCAGCTCTGCGCTGCTTTATTGGCATGAATGATAATCAACTGCTAATTGGCACCAATGGTGATTAACACCAAACGATAATTAAACTCATAATGAGGTCGTGTATCGAACAGACAATAACATCCGCAGTCGCTGCTAATTGGACGGAAGGACTCACCGCGTTTAAAGGAGCCTTGGACGTGTTGAGTCAAACCGTTCGTAACGGTTCTTTGAATTCAGCCTCTGAAGGACGTGACGCATGAATCCAGACACAAGTTAATTCTCTGTTTATGGAAAACGTTGGTAAAGAAGAATCTTTCCTTATAATTTTCACAAAGACACTAAACATGAAGAGATTCAGCTGTTTTCAGAAACAGTGGAATATTTGTGTGTGTGTGTGTGTGTGTGTGTGTTATGTCCAGGGTGAAAAACAGGATGTGATGTAACATCCTGAGGCCATTATTAGAGAAGGTGCAGGTCAAACCACAGTCAGCACGTCCTCAGTCACTCATCATGTGAACATGTTAGCGTGTTGTGTTTCGGTCTGCGATGGGCAGCGGCCATCTTTACTGTATTACTCTTCTCATGCGCCTGAAAGCGTCTGTGGCGTCTGACACATCCAGCTGCTGATGCCTTTTTAGTTTGAGACGTTTCAGTCAACGAATCTATTCATTAATAATCCAGATGAGCATTTTTATAACGCTCATCGTGTCCAAACATCAAAATGACTCAGTGATAAATATTAATAAATCCAGCTTTGGGTTCATGTTCTGTAAAACATCAAATCATACTTTGGATTCAAACATCGTCATTTCTAAAGTCACTAAAAGTTGATGAATGTAAAGAACAAAAAAGTCAATATTCTCTAAACAACATAAATTAAAAGTTATAAAATAAATAGCATGGCCTCAGATTTGCATTTAAGTACTTGAGTAAAGTAGAAAGTACTCAGTTACTTCCAGCTTTAGTCTTTAATTTTACTCCTCTCTGTGTTTCAGCCACATGCCTCTGAGTCCGGCTGCTGACACCAAACATGATCGCCCGCGGCAACAGGCGGTTACTAACGGCAACCCGACAGGCTCTGCTGTTGCCAGGGACGACGACGCGGATGACACGTCCCCTGGAAACAGCATTGTCGTCCGCATTGGCATCCCGGACCTGCAGCAGACGGTAACACACACACACAGTTTATACATGAATGTGACTATGTATATATGTATTTATATATATATACATATATATATATATATATATGTAGACCTAGAATGAATCAGCAGGACAAACCCGTCTGTCTGTCTGTGTGTGTCTGTCTCTTTCTCTGTCTGTCTGTCTGTGTCTCTGTCTCTGGCTCCCTCAGAAGTGTTTGCGGTTGGACCCAGAGTTACCAGTTTGGACCAGTAAGCAGAGGGTTCTGGTGACGTTGACTCAGTCTCTGTCGGATGTTTTGAACTATGGTCTCTTCCAGCCGGCGTTCAACGGCCGAGCCGGAAAGTTTCTGGACGAGGAGCGGCTGCTGAAGGAGTACCCTCTGCCCCCCATCACCCCCATCCCCTACCTGGAGGTGAGTTTAGAAATCCTGACAAAGACAAAGGAACTGACATCATCACGTCTCGGTCACATTATTTATATAGAAGTATGTCCTGAAAGTTGTGTTTGTCAAATGTTTGCCTGGATGTGTTCATCATATTTAGAATGTGTGTGTGTATAAAAAGACACCCATGGACACACCTGTTCATATGCATGTGAGTCTTTAGATCATAGTATGATAATTAACTAGTCTTCACTTCCATGAAGTCACGTTAACAACGTGTACGACCTCCAGTAACCAGAGGATCTTTGATTTCTCTCTTTCTCTACAGTTTCGTTATAAGAGGAGAATTTACACACAGAGCTACGTGGACGATAAACAGCTGGCCAAGTTACACACCAAGGTACACACACAGGTTTATTACATGATTATATAAACTCCACTCACTCTACACTGACTTTTAACATCTGCTCTGAGAGTTTATGCTCCAACCAACGTGTTTTTCAGGCCAATCTGAAGCGTTTCATGGAACATGTTCATCAGAAGAACGTGGAGAAAGTTTCCAAATGGCTGGAAAAAGGCCTGGACCCAAACTTCCACGACTCCGACACGGGGGGTACGTACAGAAGCAGCTGACAGCACTGAGTTTGATTTATGACTAATCTCTGATCAAACATTGACGCGGACTTGACGACGACCTGGTTAGAGCTTTGTGGTCAAAGGTCAAAGTCACTGTGGCCTCACTAATCATGGTTTTGACCTTTTGATGTCTCATTTTGACCAGTTGTCATTTGGACTGATTAGATTTCAGTGGTTAAAGGTCAAAGGTCACTGTGACCTCCAATTAGTCTGGAAGGAAACGGTTATAAACTGAAACTTCTCTGGTTGGTGGAGGCAAAATAAATTCAACTTTTTTCTACAAGTTTGATCGAAGATTCCTGCTGTTTAATAGAACAGTGAGGTCATAAACTCCACATAAGAGGAAGTTAATTTGTTCCTGTGTCTCAGAGTGTCCTCTGACGCTGGCCGTGCAGCTGGAGGAGAGTTGCGAGCTGATTAAAGTCCTTCGCAGCGGTGGAGCTCATCTGGACTTCAGGACCAGGGACGGGATCACCGCTCTGCACCGAGCCGTGCTCTGCAGGAACAGCGCCGCTCTCACTGTGAGGAAACCCTCCGCTCAACGGCATCGTCTTTCTTCTGCAAACTCTCATCCTCCGGAAAACAGGAATAAATAGAAAAGAGTTCAAAAGATTTTTACCATTACTGCAAATATTAAAACGTCTTGAGTGAAACGTGAATTAATACAGAACTGATGAAAAGATCTTCCCCTAATGAAAAACTGAGCTTTAATTATGAAAACATTTAAAAAGAAAGTTTGTATAAAAAGTGAAATTTAGTTTTTATTAGTCACTTTATTTGTGCTTTGCTCTTTAATTACCCAGAGTTCCACTGAAGTATCAGCAGCTCCGCCCCCGCACACACACTGCAGATTGTGAACTGCTTTCAACCACAGACTGTAAATTAAGATGGACGATGTGAGAGATGAAGCCAAACTATCTCAGATCAGAACGCTGCCACCTTGTGGTGACGTCAGCTGTCAGTCATGACAGAAAACCACTTTCAGACACATTCATTAAACGTGTACTACAGCCATCCACCAGGTGGCGATGAAGACACTTTGGCTTCACTTTTGTGAGCCGTCATGTCGTCCATCTTTATTTACAGTCTGTGGTTTTAACAGTTTAACTTCGCAACACGTCACAAACGTCTGCAGACAAATGATTGAGATCTTCTCGTGGTCCTCAGACGCTGCTCGACCTCGGGGCGTCTCCGGACTACAAGGACAGCAGAGGTCTCACTCCGCTCTACCACTCTGCCATGGTGGGGGGCGCCCCCTACTGCTGCGAGCTGCTACTGCAGGACCATGCCACCATTGGTGAGGAGGCTCAAAGTGATCAATCCAGCTGCTGTGTGTGTGTGTGTGTGTGTGTGTGTGTGTGTTGACATCACTGCTGCCCTTTCATCAACACTGTACGACCTCTTTTATATTAAAACATTTATATTGAGTCGTTTCTGAAACAAAAACACTTCACCGCTGAACAAATTCCTGTTGTCATGGTTACAGGGATGACTGATGAGAACGGGTGGCAGGAAATCCACCAGGTGACACACACACACACACACACACACACACACACACACACACACACACACACACACACAATCAGTTGAATTACTTGTGCTGACAGTGAAAGCCTCTTACAATTATGATTTCTTGTGTGTGTATGTGAGTTCAGGCATGTCGCTATGGTAATGTGCAGCACTTGGAGCACCTGCTGTTCTATGGCGCTGACATGAGTTCCCAGAATGCATCAGGAAACACCGCACTGCATCTCTGTGCGCTCTACAACCAGGTAACACACATTAAATACAGTACACACACACACACTCTATCATCACACTGTATTAACGTTTTCTGTCACATGTGTTCGTCACGTTGTTTAAAATGATTTTGTAATTAACAGATTTTGCTTTTTCAGGACAGTTGTGCCCGAGTGCTGCTGTTCAGAGGAGCAAACAAGGACATCAAGAACTACAACAACCAGACTGCCTTTCAGGTCAGATAATAAAACACTGCAACAACCAGACTGAACCGGGATCTGCTGCAGCTGTTGTAGTTATGGTAATGTCCAAACCTTCTGTGTGTGTGTGTGTGTGTGTGTAGGTGGCGATCATCGCTGGGAACTTTGATTTGGCAGAAATCATTAAAATCCACAAAACCTCTGATGTTGGTGAGTTTGCTGAAAGTTCAGACACATTTACATGATGTGTGAATGTTCCTGCGAGCTCGTACAACAGTAGTTGGTTAACTCTGTGTGTGTGTGTGTGTGTTTGTGTGTATTTGTGTATATGTGCCCAAGTAGTACCCTTCAGAGAAACTCCCTCCTACACCAAACGCCGCAGAGTCGGCGTGACCAGGACGTCGGCGGGAAACGGTCTCTCGTCTCCACGTTCTCTGATTCGCTCAGCCAGTGATAACGCTCTTGAAAGCCCCGCCTCCTCTCCTGGCCCCTCCCTCCAAAGCCTGGAGACTCACCACGACACGCACACACACTCGCTGCGACGTCACACACGGCGACTCAGGTACATGTTTATAGTGACGCTCACACATACGTCCTCCTAATGGGTTTCGCCGTTATAAGCAGTAACACATTAGAGCACATGACTGGAGTTTTATAGTCTTTCTCCTGACGTACAGTCGTCTGTCTGTCTGCAGCCCGAGCGGCGGAGGTCATGTCGAGACCAGTCCCCCCCCCTCCCCTCCCCCGACCCCCCAGATGAGGAAGAGGAGGCTGTACAGCGCCGTACCGGGACGCACCTTCATCGCCACCCGCTCCCACGTCCCCCAGGGGCCTGGCGAGATCCAACTGCACCGAGGGGAGAGGGTGAAAGGTCAGGCGGTTGTGTTGGACATCTGTCGTTGTGTGTACACTGAATGTTTTGTGTGTTCACAGTTGTGTTAATGTGTGTGTGTGTTTTGCGGATGTACAGTTCTGTCTATAGGTGAGGGGGGATTCTGGGAAGGCAGCGTTAAAGGGAGAACTGGTTGGTTTCCTGCTGACTGTGTTGAAGAAGTTCAGATGAGACAATACGACCCCAGACTGGGTAAATATCACAAATGTATGAAATACAAACTCACTGTATAATGTGTGAGATGTGTTTAATGTTAAATGTATTTTTCAGAGACGAGGGAGGACCGCACCAAGAGACTGTTCAGACATTATACTGTAGGATCCTACGACAACTATACCTCCTACAGGTGAAACATTGATACTACACCACATACAGAGACAGCTTTTAATTAGGTTCATTTATTAAACATTATTTTACTATTTATTTAACCGCTCACCTTAAACAGTCCAATAATAACATAACGAATGAATTTAAGAAAATTATAAAACCTCAGTAGATTTTAGACACTTTCATAGAAAGTTCATAGAAAATATCAATATATTTAGTTTTCCAGTTGCTGGACGTCGTCTTAGCTGTGAATTCACATTTTGGACAGATTTGAGCAAATATATATATAAAAGATTAGAATCAAACAGCTGAGAACTAACATGAATGTGTTTCTCTGCGTCAGTGACTACGTGATCGAGGAGAAGGCGGCTGTGCTACAGAAGAGAGAGAGCGAGGGATTCGGCTTCGTCCTCAGAGGAGCTAAAGGTAGAAACAGAGGGATGAACACGTCGGAGGGAGGGAGGGAGGAGTGGTGGGTGTTTGGAGGTGTTGGGAAAGATGAAGATATTTTAAACAGGGTGAATAAAAACTCGGGCTGTGTTGTTTCATAATAACACCTCAGTCTGATTCAGCAGCTGACGTCCGTCATCCCGACAGGATCAATTCATCCAACAGCAATTTGAAAAATAGAAATGAAACAACTTTTTGTTTTATCTGTGTTTATTTCACACCACATAAATATAATGAAACTCATAGATGAGGTATAAAGAGTTTTAGAAACCAATAATTACTTATATTAAAAACTCACCTAAAGAGGAAGCAGTGGTTCTCAAAACAACACAACACCACAGCTACAGTTTCTGCCGGTGAAAATAAAAAATATGAAAGTTGTTATTTTGAGATATTAACTCACTGGTCACAAATGTGAAAAATTAAAACATAAAAATAAAACTTGCTTACGCTCTCTGTCTCAAGCTGAGACGCCGATCGAGGAGTTCGCCCCGACGCCAGCGTTTCCTGCTCTTCAGTACCTGGAGTCAGTCGACCAGGGGGGCGTGGCTTGGAGGGCGGGGCTACGGACTGGAGACTTTCTCATCGAGGTAACGCCTGACCTCTCACCTGAGGCCTCGTTACATCTCTGCACATCAAAGATAAATCAAGCTTCATGGTGTGTGTGTGTGTGTGTTTGTTCGTGTGTGTGCAGGTGAACGGTACAGACGTGGTGAAGGTGGGTCACCGACAGGTCGTCTCTCTGATCCGACAGGGAGGAAGTCGCCTGCTGATGAAAGTTGTGTCAGTTTCCAGGAAATCAGAATCCAACGTCATCAGGAAGAAAGGTCCCGTCGCCATCTTTGATTTCTTTACCTAATGTGTTTGCTTCAATGGGCAATAATATTTATATAATATTTATTTATCATTTAATCGACATGTCTTTTATTTGGCTAAACAAGATTAGATGGTGAAAGCTGCTGATTTAGTCTAATTGATTTTATGATCTGATGAATTTTTACAAAAACACTTTACAGTTTATTTTATTTTCATGAATCCACTGTTGACTGTTATTTGATTGGTTCTTACCCTATAGCTCCACCCCCTCCAAAACGAGCTCCCAGCACCTCGCTAACGCTCCGATCCAAGTCTATGACCGCTGACCTGGAGGACATAGGTAAAACACACACAGACACACACACACACACACACACACACACACACACACACACTCACAGTGATAAGTGTGAGTGTTGTTGACCTTTACTCTCTCTGCAGCCAGAAGGAGACGCTTCGGTGAGTCACATGATCCAGATCTTATGGTTGTGGTTTTAATTTCTCAGTGTGTGACAGTGTCGTGTCGTCAACCTGCAGTGTCGTTGTGATGTGCATGATGTTGGCCTGATGTTAACGATGCTGAGGACACTGAACACACATCAAACCCAAATCTCCTTTCATCTGCAGTCAAACATCACCTCCGTGTTTCTGACATCGTGGCTACGACTGTTAACTGGAGCTGTGTTTCTGTCGTGGTGTTGTTGTTGTGTTGTGATGAAATGAGGCTGTTTGAGCATATTTTGTTAATGTTGTTCTTTGTGTCTCCTCCCTCCAGAGAAACTGGATGAGATGTTGGCCAGCAGTCAGCAGGAAGTCGTTCTGAGGGCACGACCTGCGGACGACTTCAGAGCGGCAACGGTCAAACAGCGGCCGACCAGCCGACGGATCACACAGGCCGAGATTAATGTAAGGTCACAAACATGGTCCTTATGTTGCGTTTAGTTGTAACGTAACTCCGAGTTTACAACTTGTAACTGATGCATCAACCTCCAGTTCGTAATTTCGACAAAGTTCACGTACATAAAGACTGGAAACCGTAAGAACGCAGACCAGGTTCATTAACACAAATATGATGATTGTTAGAGTTTTATTTTCAGTTCTCATGTTATATAACTGTGTGTGTGTGTGTGTGTGTGTGTGTGTGTGTGTG